CTTAACCCAGGACTGCAAAGGTGACAACAAAAACATAGAAACTTCATCTATCATCCTTTCATCCGCTTACATGTATGCAAAACCTCACCAAGTATTCCTGTATCCTCGAATGTGTCCCTTTTTTGGTGGAACCCACAGTCTTCACCCAGCTGGACACCCAACCCAGGCAACTTAAACATGTCTTGATCAGGTGCCTGAGCTACCTTAACTTTCAGTGTAAAGGAGCGCTGGTTCTTGAGTGTCTGTAAGGCTGAGTGAATTGAAAACTTTAAATTCAATCTTGACTAGGGATTCGAATTGATAAGAATTTAGCAGTTTCAGTTCTATTATTGATATCACTTATCAATTCAATTCCTTCCCTTATCAGTTCTCACTGGCTCCACTTTGAGAGTCACCACCATCAATAATCAGCATATCAAAGAAATTACACTCATGCACATTCACTGCATGCTGCGGGTCACATGTTTGTGCATGTTGGAGGTGCTTCCCTCTTTGTCGTGATCAGTGTTGGTGTCGTTACTCAACAAAGTAATTATTACACATATTACACAGAACAATTTTCTTTAAAGTATTGCAGTATGTTACTTAATTACACCCAGAAGAAAGACATTCGTTGGTCTACTTGTTTCGTTACTTTCATGTTACTCTGTAAAATTATCTGAAATGCACTGTTTCATAATCACGAATTAATAATATGAACCTGAGGCCACAGCCCCACACACTCAAACAGATCTCTACCCTAATAGAATAGAGTAGAATCCTTTTTTTTTTTCTATACACATGTACAATCTCCTACTCACTGCAGACATTTGGGAAAATAAATGCCCAGTTCTGCACCACTATAAACATACAAATAGTATTAAAAAAATATACTATTGGAAAAATAATATGTTGGATCTAAGTTTCTCTGGCCCCTCCCCAATCAGACCAGGAGTGACATGTTTAGCCGCATGTTCTCCTTAAATTGCTGGCTGTCTGAGTGGTGTCCCAGAAACGATGTGGGCTTCATAGATAATTGGCAAACCTTCTGGAGGAAACCTGGTCTTGTTAGGAGAGATGGCATCCATCCCACTTTGGATGGAGCAGCTCTCATTTCTAGAAATATCGACAAATTTATTAAACCCCTCAAAACATGACTATCCAGAGTTGGGACCAGGAAGCAGAGTTGCAGTCTTACACGCCTCTCTGCAGCTTCTCTCCTCCTGCTACCCCCCAAAAACCCATCTCCATAGAGACTGTGTCTGCTTCCAAAAAGACAAAAAACAAACTAAAAACCAGCGACAAACAACTTAAACATAAAAAAATCACAAAGAAGGAACAATATAGCATCCACATCCGAAACAAAGAGTAAAACAGTGAAATGTGAAAGTTAAGGATCCAGCTGCAGAGGGAGCTGTTCAGTCCTAGATCCAGCTGTTTCCTGTCCAGCTTGGAGGGAGCGATGGTATTGAATGCTGAGCTGTTATCTACAAACAGCATTCTCACATACGTGTCTCTCTTCTCCAGGTACGAGAGGGCAGTATGTAGTGTCAGGGCTATGGCATCATCAGTGGACCTGTTGTGGCGGTATCCGAATTGTAGAGGGTCCAGTCAGTTGGGTAGTGCAGAGCAGATGAAGTCCCTGAACAGCCTCTCGAAACATTTGCTCATGATGATGATGCAACTGGTGTCTTGGTGCAAAATCAATAATCTTGTTCTCAGTACTTCAAAAACCAAAGAACGTATAATTGACTTTAGAAAGAAAAAGACAGACTTTTCACCCCTAATTATAAAGGGAGACTGTGTGGAGAGGGTGGCGGACTTTCGTTTTTTGGGAGTCCACATGGAGGAGAACTTGTCCTGGAGTATAAATACCTCTGAGCTACTGAAGAAGGTCCAAAACAGACTGTACTTCCTGAGAATTCTCAGGAAGAATAATATCACACAGAAACTGATGGTGTCCTTCTATAGAGCTACCATTGAGAGTGTACTAACTAATGCCATAGGCATTTGGTACACTAGCTGTACAGCAGCTCAGAGGAAAGCACTCCAAGGGGTTATCCCTATCTCTCCCTATGGTGAAGGATTTACATTTCAATTCAATTCAGTGATGTTGGTCAGGGCTACCGGTTGCCAGTTGTTCAGTGATGAGATGGTGGAGGATTTGAGCACAGAGACGATGGTGGCCGTTTTGAAGCAGGCTGGGACTACAGAGTCCAAACAGGCACAGTTCTGGTGGGCGGCCACGTGGCCAGCAGCTGAGCCAAAACAGTTCTGGTGGGCGGCTGCGTGGCCAGCAGCTGAGGCGATTGAGCAGGTCCGGAG